CGCGCGGCGGGGGGGAGGGGAGGGGCGGGGGGGGGCTATGAAGCCTTGCCAGGACCCCCAGTGGGCGGGGCTGGGCCTCGATGAAGGAGTGAAGGCGGCTGAGCACTGGGCTTCTGCTGTGACTGAAGGCAAGCTCTGAGCAGCCCTGCCAGCGTGGCGTTGGTAGGGCTAGTGGGGCTCCCTGTGCACCAGCCTCCTGCTAGACTTCCTGCGGGGCTGGCGGAGGCCTGGCAGCGCCACAGGCTGTCCAGCAGCTCACCCCCTTCTGCACAGGGAAATACAGGGCAACTACCCCCTCCCCCCCAGAACCATCGCCTGTACCTGCTCCTCCAGGACGTACCGCAGCAGGTCCCAGTCCCAGCTCAGCACAGCCGTGGTAGCTGATTTGCAGGAGCCCCCAGAACTGCTCCCCCATTGTCGGGACGAGGAGCCTGAGCGACAGGCAAAGCAACCCCGAGAACCAGCAGCCCTGCAGCCGTCACTTGCCGGAAGCCCGTCTCCCAGGGTTTCACCCCGGCACCGCGGCCTCCTGCCCGTGGCAGGGGCCAGGGCTGCTCCAGAGCAAGGCACGCTCACGGCGCTCGGGGGAAGGGCCTGCATGGTCCTCTCCACCGTGAGCAGGGCCGATGTGGCTCCCCGGCCGGGCACCAGCCTCCACCAGGCCCTCGGACCCACCGTGCTGGGAAGGGGCCTCCCTGCTGGAGTGTTTGGCGGCCAGCGCCATACGGGGAGCAAGCTCCCGGCCAGGCAGCACGGAGCCGGGGCAGAGAGCACCTACATTTGGATTTTCATCAGCAGCATGTAGGCGTCCTTCAGCAGAGGCCCGGCCTCCGAGCTCAGCAGGATGTTCCTGGTCACGTGGGACACGATCTCCTTCGGGGGGTAATGCTGGCAGGACACGAAGTCCGTGAGGAACTGCAGGGTCCCCCGGGGGAAGTTCTCCTCCATGGTGGTGACCACCATGCTCAGCTTTGTGCTGGGGATGGGCTGGGCCTTCCGGCGGGCGTTCTGTCAGACAGTGAGGCGTCAGCCGTGCGAGGCGCCGTGTCACACGGGGCGCCGTGCAGCCTGCCAGGACTAACCACAGTTTCACCCCCTGCCTGGCTGTGCTTCGTCCCAGGGGCTGGGGGGGGTGGAATGCCCCAGCACGGAAACGTGCCTTAGCTCCCTTTTCGCCGATTTGGGCACTGCCTAGAGCCCTGGCTGGAAAAGGGGTCTCTTTCCCAGGAACTCTCCTGGGGCAGGAGAAAGGGAAGGGTACGCAGCCGGGGGCCGTGCTGCGGTCACCCAGGTGGGGCTAGCTTGGACGGCTACCCAGCCCCAGGTGCAGCACCATGACTACCGACTGGTGCAGCTGGGGGTGTCATGCCCCCCAGGGGGGCAAGGCAGCTGTGCTGTCACCCGGCCGGCCCTCTCCAGGAAGCAAGAACGCCCTGCATCCGCCTCTAGGAGCTGAGAAGATGCATCTAGGCCCCGGGCAGTGCAGGCACTCACGGATTGGCCTGCGGGGCTGCCTGCCTCCAGCACAGGAGCCCATCTCAATGGACCGTTGCTGGCCCATGCTGACACCGCCGGGTTCCCGGCTCGCCGGGCCCTTTGCTAACGGGGCATTTCCCCAGCACCAAACCCCAGCAGGACGGCGGAGCTCACAGGCCGGCCCAGCAGTGACGTAAGCTCTGCGCAGTGCTGCCCAGAGGGGATCGGCACAGGCTCATCTGCGCAGAGACCGCACCTTTCCCCTTGGCGCACACAAGCGGAGACCTGCTGTCCTCTGCCCTCCGCGGGACCTTACCAGGCGCAACCCGCTGTTCGAGCTCTGCCTTGCTGGGGCGCTGCTCGGTACTGAGCGGGCACAAGGCAGCCAGAGGCCAGGACGGGCGCATTGCAGAGGAGGGGGCCAAACCCCAAGGCATTCGCTGGCTGCAGGCTGGGATTTTCAGCCACAGAGCCCGGCTGACGGGAAAGGCCGGGGGCGCAGCCCAAGCATCGCCCCCCCATATGAGAGGCGCCACCTGGCCCCGGGAGGGAGGCAGGGGCCCCACGTGCTTACCTGGCGGGTTTCCTCGTCCTGTACCACTCCCTGGAGGAACAAGTGGTGCACCGGCATCCTCCTGAAGTAGCGCAGCTTATGCAGCCAGGCCTTGTTGACCAGCCTCCGCCTGCCTGGCTCGGGGGGTTCCTGCTTCGCTGCACCCAGCACCCAGCGACTAGTCTCCAGCAAAGGCCGCTCTGGAGACCCGCGGCCGCTTGCAGGGGGGCAGCTGGAGCGGTCGGGAGAGAGTCTCTGAGCCGGGGGCAGGGGCCCGCCGGCCGCTGGAGGCTGGCTAGGGAGCCCAGGTCACATTTAATGGTGGTGCTGCTGCTGCTGGAGTCGGAGGAGAAACAGCCTCCCCCATGGGTGCCCTTTGTCTCCGCGTGGGCTCTGTCCCAGGGGGCCCCGCAGCCTTGCTCGGCCTCCTCTTTGCTTTCCTGCTTTACGGCGGGGAGCAGGGGGCCGTGGGGAGGGAGCGCACACTCCGCGCCGACCTCGGGGGAGCCCTCCCCCTCGGTCAGGTCAATCACCGCCAAGTCCTCGCCCGTCAGATCAATGACCTCCTGGGGAGAGAGAGAGGGGCCCCAGGACGGAGCTCAGCTTCAACAGCCCACATGAAAGTCTTCCTCACGGGCAGCATCAGCACCCAGAAGGCCCTGCGGGGACCCCACGCTCACCCGTGAAGAAAGAGGGTTGAAAGATGGGAGCGGGCTCCCGGCAGAGTCACAGGAAGGGTTAAAAGACTCAAGAACAAATGTCAGAGACCCCCGGAGCTCAAGCTATTTCAGGACGGAGCTCAGCTTCAACAGCCCACATGAAAGTCTTCCTCACGGGCAGCATCAGCACCCAGAAGGCCCTGCGGGGACCCCACGCTCACCCGTGAAGAAAGAGGGTTGAAAGATGGGAGCGGGCTCCCGGCAGAGTCACAGGAAGGGTTAAAAGACTCAAGAACAAATGTCAGAGACCCCCGGAGCTCAAGCTATTTCGCTTGACAAAGAGACGGCTAAGGGGAGACTTGGGCACAGTCTGGGTGTAGCTACGTGGGGCTTCGACGTATCAAGGACTCACGATCCAATGGCCAGAAGCAGAAACTAGACTAATTTAGACTAGAAATAAGGCCAATGTGGAAGAGTGACGGTAATTAGCCCCGGGCCAGCCTACCAAGGGCTGGGGCGGATTCTCCAGCCCTGGCAGTTCTGAAATCAAGAGCAGATGTTTTTTCTAAACGCTCTGCTCTTCGCAGCCAGCGCCTCAGGATTTGGCCCAGAAATTCAGAGCCGCCTTCGGTTCTGCTGCTCAGATGCGAGCACAGCGGCCCCCTTCTAGCCTTAGAATCACGGAGGGGTTTATGCAAGCCAGTGCTGACCCAGAGTGCCGAGAGGTCGAAATACGGCAACTAGTCATGGTGAAAGTAATTTACAAAGCATGCTGGTACAGGAGCCCAGCTCCCGGGGCCCCAGTGGGAAGGGGTGGAGGTCAGCTTCCCCCAGCCGGCCTTTCAAACCAGGGCCTTTAAACCACCAGGCCCTGGGGCAGCTGCCACTTTTGCTCACCCCCTCATGGGCTGTGCCCAGGACGGTAGGGGCAGCCACTGC